ATGGATCTCTGTTGAAACTCTTGCAAAAATTGGAGAAAGGAGGAACAAGAAGGCAGCAATCAATGTCAGCCGAACAAGAGCGGAGAAAGTTACCGCGCAAGCTGCATACACAGAAGCAAACAGGGAAGTGAAGAAGAGCATCAGAGCTGACAAACGAAAATATGTGGAAGATCTAGCAATGACGGCGGAAAAGGCTGCAAGAGACGGAAACTTGAGACAATTGTACGAAACAACAAAGAAGCTCGCCGGAAACTATCGTAAACCAGAACGACCAATGAAAAGTAAGGAAGGCAAAGTAATCAGCAACACTGAACAACAGCGAAATAGGTGGGTAAAACACTTTCAGGAACTACTGAATCGACCAGCTCCACTGAGCACACCCAACATCGAAGCAGCATCCACCGATCTCCCAATTATTATTGGCGCACCTACGATTGAGGATATCAGTATGGCCATCAGACAAATCAAGAGCGGCAAAGCAGCAGGACCAGACAACATTCCAGCAGAGGCAATGAAAGCAGATGTAGAAGCAACTGCGAAAATTCCAGTGTAGGAGAAAATCAGGAAGAAGCGGTGGAAGTGGATAGGACACACACTACGAAAAGCACCTAACTGTGTCACGAGACAAGCACTCACATGGAACCCTCAAGGCAAAAGGAAAAGAGGAAGGCCAAGGAACACATTACGCCGAGAAATAGAGCAAGATATGAGAGGAATGAACAAACATTGGACAGAACTGGAGAGAGAAGCCCAGGACAGAGTTGGTTGGAGAAAACTGGTGAGCGGCCTATGCTCCATTGGGGGTAACAGGCGTAAGTAAGTAAGTACTCAATGGTGGCTTTACAGTAATACTTGAGAAATGATTTGTGATTAAGATCATCTTGAGCCTAGATTTTTGTTTTTTAAAGTTTAAAGATATAACTGCTTTTATTTTTGGCAGCAGCACTCTCTGTAAATATAGATCTTAAAACCAATTTACAGTTGATCTGTTACTCAGAGCCCTCATGAAATCGATGGATGGCATGGATTTTTAAATGAAAATAAGTGTACTTTAGTTTCTCGAAGTGGTGATTACCATGAATTTGTATTACTCTTGCGAGTAGAAGATTTCTCACTTTTAACGTAAAACCCTGTGAAAATTAGAGGTCAGAAACTCGTGTGAATTTGAAATTCAAGTCATATATAAGTTAACTTCTTTTATTAGCGGATTATTGTGCTCTTATTTATTCGTGAGTACAGTCACGTCGCCATCTAGTTCGTGGACCATGCATCTGATGGAGCCGAAACGCATAAGATTACGCATCTTAGTAGTAGGTACGACCAGCTTGACAAACAATGAAGTAATATTTGCTAAAAGCTAATCAAAATACAACTTAGATTAAGTTCTTTAAACAAAAACTACCTATTTACGAGATTAGTATCAAGTGTGTTGATTTCAGGACCGTTGGAAATATAGCGACAAGCTAAAAAACTCATGTCAACAAAAAGAAAGTCTTGTGTTATGCCACTCTAAGCAGTTCTCAAACGGAGGACAGACCGAAGTGAAATTAATTCATAATAAATATGGTCTATATATTTTTTCAAAACATATTAATCACGTTTCATTATTTAAAAAACAGTTAGCATTGTTTAGATAAAAGGTGAGAACTAGCCGTGTTTAAGCTGTTATTGGACCTTGAAGGCTAATAATTGTTCCTTTTACTTCATAGTTCAGTTAATAATCAGCTGACCACAAGGTTGTAGCTAGTCGCGCTATGATGCTGCTTCTGCAAACGACGCGATTGCCAGTGTTAGTTTTCCGTGGTTTGCTTCTATTTTTTCTGGGGATATGTTTTTGCTGGGTTTGCGAAGCACTGCACAACATAAAAGGCGAATTTACGTCATCTAAAATATCATTTTACACAGAATCTGCAGCAAAATTTTGGATATCCTTCTGTTGTGGTGTTGCCTCAGGTAATAAATGTTCTTCAAAATTATTGCAAATTTTTAGTCACAGTAGGACTTTTATCTCCATGCGTTGATTCTAAACTTGGTGCTTATGAAGCCTATAATAAGGAGTGGTCGTCAGTTCTAAGATGTGCTGCTCTGTTCTTCGGTTTCAGTCATGCTACTGCTAGAATAGATTTTGCTACATATTCTCAGCTATCACTTACAGCGATTGGATTATCTGTCGCACTTTGGTGGGTTTTTGACAGATCTCTTGTCGGATTTCTTTTTGGAACGGCAGTCGCACTACTCGCCACATTTATTTTCCAATCATTTGTTTGGAAGCAACTCTACAGGTAACTTGTTATAAATTTAATTTACATCTGTATAGGTTTTCCCATCCAATGATGGCCGCTTGGTTACCTTGTCTTTTCTTCTCTGGTGGTGTTGTCATTGTTCTGGTTGGCCGACAACTAGCGAAACCTGATGTTATGGCGCTGATGCAAAGGAAAGTTAAATAATCCTAAAATCTCATTCAAATTAATTTCTATATCACTGTACATAAATTTCAAACATGTATAGAAATAATTAGCTCTTCAGTATGCATTTCATATAACCACAAACTTAATAAAACTCTATGACTTCCTGGGTTCCTCTGTTTGTACTCTACGCATACAGTTTATTGCGTCATTAATATCAAATTTGCCTCAGTTCGATCATGTTAATCCTAGATTTTGACGATTTTGTGTGTAATGTTTAGAGAATATATCTGAAGATCTGTTTCAATTGGTTTCAAGTACTTTTTTGGTAGTTCATGCATGTTATGTAACTCAGTTGCTTGTTCCTTCAGCCTGTACATCTCATTAAAACGTTCTTTCAAGAATTGTTTCTGTTTTCAATGTGCTTTAGTATTTTACTATTAATTCGAATCTAATTATCAGGGATTCAGTCAATCATTATTTATAGTTCAGGTATTCTAAAGAAAACCAATTTACTAAGTGTTGGTAGCATATGTTCAGGTGGAACATTTCTGTGATTAACCACTCCTGTAAGAACGTATTCCTAATCTGAGTTAATTTAGTTATGGTATTTGGACTTTATTATGATGACTTCGGCGTCTATTATTTTCACTGGAGAAAGATTGGTAATACACGACAGTACTAAACCGTTGTTCAAGATGTCAAGTTCTAATGTATAACTCAGTCACACCCTTTGATAAATTAAAAGAAATAAGTCTGTGCATCTCAACTGCTACCTTTAAGTAAAGTTAGAAAGCACTGTTGCGGACGTAGTAAAAATTATTTGAACCTCCTCCATTATACTATCATCTTTCATTAAGAAAAGCTGGCTACTTATGTGTAATATTTTAGATTAGAAACTAGATGAATGAACCTTAAAATCCTGATCATACTTTTATCAACACATATGCAGGCTGTCCGAAGTAACCATATTATCTGAAGTATGACGATCACTGCGTGGAAATACGACAAAATTTACATCCAATCCCGAATTTTCTCATGTAGTAATAAACAGTTGAGGCCTCTTATCAATATGGGTCCTTTTAATTAAAGTTTACAACTAGGCATTATGTAGGTAGACATTGGTTAGGAACTGTGGGTGTAAATTATCTTGTAAATATGGCTACTATTTTTCCGCAACAAGTTGCAGAGAATATCGAAAGGAAGGTGAGATGTTTTCTAAATTAAGATAACTGCATTATGGTTGTTAAAATGGTAACTGAAATGCAAATCATGAGATGATGCGCAATACTACAGTTTAACCAGCTGGCATCTGTTTACGAGATCCCAAAAGACGGTATAACTGCTTACGTAATTAGTCTTTTCGAGATCAAAATACGTGCTTCCGTGCAAAACATTCAGCATAAAATATATAGTACTACATGTTATTTAGCATATGAATAACTGTAGGATAAAAAGCTGCAGATTATTCACACGCTCCCATGGTATCAAAAGAAATACGAAAGTACTAGGTATCTGTAGATATAAAGGAAATATGCTTGTGGATAAAAAAATTCTCCAGATCTGTCTCATCAAGATGATTATGTACTGGACGTTCTAAGAAGCCGGCCCTTCTATTAAATAACGCATTAGCTTTTGTTACTCAATTTCGATCACTCGTCGGAATCTGCTTAGCTCTGTATAACCCATTATAAATGACCCGACCGTAGCTGCTACCTCGACGTGCTGGTCGGGCTTGCCTAGCGTAATGACCCAACCGAGCTACATTGGCTAGAACACATGTTCCTGTAGGTTTTATCGTGCCAGGCAGGTCGATTGAAGAACGATGAAACTAAAAGCAGCTACTCAAGGTTTGAGGGCGAAGTCGTACTGCTGACTGTAGAGAGGTGTAGTGACAGCAGTAAAGTGTCTCCCTCGGACAACCAGCATCTGTAGCGATGCTGCCTTCTCACAAGGAAGGAAGGGTTAGAAAAGGTCGACCCTAAAAATTTCACACCTTGCCCAGCCTCATGGGTTTCCGTCTCCGTAGCTCAGGTTGCCCACTAAGGGCTTTAAAATAGCGGAGCTAATACTCAAATAACCTTTCATCAAAAGGACGTGCGTGACCGGCCTGAAGCAGTTGTCCGTTGGACTGTGCGGTCACGCTCCCAGGTCGCTAAGACCAACGCTAATCTACCTTCCTCTTCAAGTTCCGCAAGAAACACCCTCCCACGGTGTGGGCAGCCGGGAAGTAACATCCGCCCTCATACTCATAATAGCACCCGAGGTCGAATTGGTCAAAATCAAATCCTTCCTACACCCCCTTATCTTCACGACTAACTTATCTCACGTTCCTTTATCACTCCTCACCCGTGCTGCAAACGATTCGAGCTCCTGAGACGTTATTCTTGGTCTCCTGAAACAACGTTCTGTCATAGAAATTCTGCTAGATATAACATTGTCTTCGTCTCAATTTTCAAGAGTAGACCTACCAGGAGGCTCGCTTATTGACTTACAATATGCCGATGACATAGTTCTATTCGGTGAAGACGCTGACAAAATGCAGAGCCTTCTGACTACCCTAAGCAAAAATACAAGCATGTTCGGAATGCTGTTTTCCCCCTCAAAATGCAAAATGTTGCTTCAGGATAGGGTTTCATCGGCAGCTGGACTAATGGTAGGGAGTGAAGTAGTCGAGTGTGTTGATAGCTCCACTTATCTCGGGAAATTCATCATTACCGATGGCCTGGTGACTGACGAAATCTCAACTCGAATACAGAAGGCTCGATTGGCTTTTGCTAACTTGCGTCACTTATGGCGTAGGCGAGATATCCGTTTGCTGCGCAGCAGTTCGATCCGTTCTAACTTATGGATGAGAAACATGGCCAGTCAGATAGATGATATTCGTAGGTTATTGGTTTTCGATCATAGGTGTTGGTGTATCCTGGGACAACCGAGTAAGCAATGCGGTTGTTAGGAAATGAGTACTAGGTAGAGTCTGCCTCGATGAGCGATGTTTTGTGGTATAGGAGTAGGATGGGCGGAAGCTATGGTTGGTCAAAGCAAAGCATCACACGAATTCATGAAGTCATTAACAAGTGGACTGAGTTATGTTGGCAGGTGTTGACTATCTGGTTGTGGTCGGCGAGACGATAGTAATCGATGATTAGAGATCCTGAACGACATGGCTCAAAACTGATTGCAATGGCGCAGGTGCATCCATAATTCGTACTCTCTCAAATCCTAATGCTCAATGTCAAATACATCATTTTGCACCAGTTTACTCAGTTATTTAGTATAAAATTTATATATATGAATATATATATTCTTGCTATTTCAGTAATATATAGGTTAGTTCATAACTTCAAATGAAAAAACAGACTTCCTTCTCAATGAATTCATATTTCAATTGTACATTTTCAATAGAAATTTATCAAATTACTGACAGTTAATATAAATATATATATACCAGATATTGTAAGAAAAATATTAACATACTAATGATAAGTTGGGTTTCTTTCTCCTGGTGATCGACTGGATTATGAAAACGTCAACATCTGGAGGGAAGCACGGTATCAACTGGACAGTTAGGGCGCAGCTGGACTTCGCAGATCACCTGGCTCTTCTATCGCACACGCAACAACAAATGCAAAAGAAGACTACCAGTGTAGCAGCAACTTCTGCAGCAGTAGGTCTCAACATACATAAAGGAAAAAGCGAAATTCTCCGATGCAACACAACATACACCAACCAAATCACTCTTGATGGAGATGCCTTGGAGGATATTAACACCTTTACCTATCTGGGTAGCATCGTCGACGAGAAAGGTGGATCCGATGCAGATGTGAGGGCGCGGATTGGCAAAGCAAGGACTGCATTTCTACAATTGAAAAATATCTGGAACTCCAAACAACTTTCAACCAAAACTAAAATCAGGATTTTCAATACAAATGTCAAGACAGTTCTACTGTATGGAGCGGAAACTTGGAGAACTACGAAAGGCATCATCCAGAAGATACAAGTGTTTATTAACAGTTGTCTACGAAAAATACTTCGTATTCGTTGGCCAGACACCATCAGCAACAACGAACTGTGGGAGAGAGCAAACCAGATTCCAGTGGAGGAGGAAATCAAGAAGAAGCAGTGGAAGCGGATAGGACACACACTACGAAAAGCACCTGAGTGCGTCACAAGACAAGCCCTCACATGGAACCCTCAAGGCAAAAGGAAAAGAGGAAAGCCAAAGAATACATTACTTTGAGAAATAGAGAAAGATATGAGAGGAATGAACAAAAATTGGACAGAACTGGAGAGAGAAGCCCAGGACAGAGTTGGTTGGAGAAAACTGGTGAGCGGCTTATGCTCGATCGGGGTTAACAGGCGTAAGTAAGTAAAGTAAGATAAGTTGGGTTAAAAAGGCAAGGTTGTGATTTGCGTCTAGTCAGACGAGTGTGTACAGTATAGAATAAGTGAGGAGAACTGTTCAGCAAGCTGACAAAAAATACACACGTTCAATAAGAATGTCAATAAAGAACAATCAGTCATCACGTAAGTCTTGGATTCACAGAGTCTATCTAGTAAGCGAAACTATGGGTGAATGGTGTGAAGACTTAAAACTGCCATGTATGAGTTCTATTTGATTGAGTGTAGTGAATCATGATATTAGTTGACGGACGAAAAAATAAACGAACGAACTAATCAATTTTTGGCCGGAGCTACATTCTTGCATATTAGTTAATGTTATTTTGTGATGAAAAATCTAACAGTTGGTTATTTACGTTAAACTGCTGAAAACTAGTTCGGAGTCACTCGTACACTTTACTTTCATCTATCACTCTTATTCCCAATGTAACATTTTAGTCAGTATGATAGTGAGGTTATATTTTCCAGTATGATATTATTTCAAGTCAATGTTACTTACTCCTGTTACCCCTAATGGAGCATAGGCCTTCAACCAGCACTCTCCAACACACTCTGTTCTTTGACCTTCCTTTCCAGTTCTGTCCAAATGTTGTTCATTCTTCTCAAGTCTGTCTCCATTTCTGGGCCTATTGTGTTCTATGATCTTCCTCTTTTCCTGTGGTCTTCAGCACTACACATGAAGGCTTGCCTTGTGTCACAGTTGGGTGATTTCCGTAATGTGTGTCCTATCCATTTCCAGCGCCTTTATCCAATATCTTCCTGTACAGGAATCTGGTTTGTTCCCTCCAACAGTAGGTTGTTGCTCATCGTGTCGGGCCAGCGGATCCAGAGTATCTTGCGTAGACAACTGTTAATAAACACTTCTGGATGATGGCTTTTGTGGTTCTCCAGGTTTCCTTTCCATACATTAGAACCTTCTTGACGCTAACCAGAAAAAATAATTCAAGTCAGAATGTTTTATATTAACCAAGTGTGAATATTGTTTAGAATGATGGGTATAAAC